GACTGTAATTCTAGTTATCAGGCACTTGGAAACGCTAGACGCACTGGTAATTATTGTTAATCCATCTTTAGACATAAAGTGACATGCTGAATACTTGACAACAATTCAAGAACATAAAGTAGACCCACAACGTACCTTTCCGAGCAGACTCCTCATTTTTGAGAAATTCTGAATTCTGCGTCTCATCCAGCAAGCATGTTTCTGTCTTATGTTTGTCACGCCAGAAAAGTTCGCTATATTAGGCGACTATTTTGCTGCGCAACTCCATCGGCAATAACTTCGCCTCGAAGGCAGATGTCACCGCAATGCACAGTGCAATAAGCCTATTTAAATTATATTAGAGCAATGAAACCTTTTAAAATTCTTATTTTTGTGGGTGGCAGGGATTTTTCGTCCGTTTTACAATTCCCCCCTCCCCTTTTTTGCAAAATATATTCCAAGCTATAACGAAATTACAAAAAAGCTACGACCATTCTCTAGATCGTTTATTTACGAATCGAATGGTGTATCTCTCAATGCTGTAGCTTAAAATCATAGGAGAAGATATGTTTTTAAGATTGAAATATAACTTTTCATGAGAGCCAAAAACCGAAATTTGTCATCATTGAAGGTATAGGCTTTACTTGCGCTTCGACGGCTGTCGTGAACGAACAAATGAACGCACAAACATGACTTTGGGCTTTTTAGATGCGCAATTTCTGGACCTTTAAAATGGTACTAAAAACCGGAAAAGTCAAACTGTTCGATTTTTGACCGAGACGCTCCCCATTTAAGCCTATATATGGAGCTCTGGAAACAGTATAATATAAACAAAAAGAATTAGAGGATGTCAAACTGAAGTATGGATGATGCAGCATATAATTTTTTGGGGTTGAGACAAATCGAAAGACAAAGAAAATTTTCTATAAAATTCGGAATTGCCGCGTCGTAATTTATAAATGTGGTCATCAAACGAATATTTTCGGAAATTTATAGGAAATATTACTTGATTGGATGAGCTTCCTCTAGACATAATTGAATAAATGCCTATAACACCAAAGTAACTTTAAATGATATATAATTATACTGAAAATAGTAGAAAATTAAAAAGTCTTTTAATTTTTTGATAATTTTTTTCAAAGAACTACGCGCGAAGAAGGGTAATTCGCGTTTCTAAAACAACTCAACATAAATCAATATATTTATAATTATATTAAAACAAATAATTACCTATATTTGGCGAATTCTAATATTAATCCATATGGTTTTTCTAATTTAAATCTTGTATATAATGCTTAAATTGTTGAGTTACAGCGCTCCCGAATATCTCTCCCCCAACATGCAGAATTTTCTTGAGGTTCGATTGTTTTGTTTTCATTTGATCGTTTCTGAGCGCAACAATAATCTTTAAGTGATGTATCATGACTTACACTTGCATTAAAAGTTTGCATTATTGAGAGGAACTAAAAAACATTAAAATTCGTTCCTTTTATAACCATAAAAACGCCTCGTGGTGCCAGAGATTAGTTTGTGTTGAGAGGCTAGACGCACAAACGAAAACAAGTGAATCATCGACTTCCCAGCGCTGATGTAGCCACTTCTATTTTTGTCATTGCTCTATCGAAAAACAAACGGCGGATGATTTGGGTAAAATTAAGGTACATTTTCGTCGCTATCTTGCTACACTTTTCGCCGTTCGTGACTCGCGCGCACGACACTTCGATGAAAGCAGGCATGAACTCACCTGAGAATAATATTAAAAAAATATAACTCAGTACTCACTGCAGTGAGTGACAGAGAGCGCATTTTCTCGTCGACGAAAACTTGAGGTCACGGACGGACAGACAGACGAACGGACAGACGGACATGGCCAGCACAATAGTGCATTTTTTCCATAAATGAGAAAATGCGCTAAAAATGGACATGTATATGCACCATCCATCGATTATCGTCGAGTTTTTTATATCTGCGTCCTACTTATGAACGTTCATCAAAATATGTATTCATGTTCATTTTTACTTCAGACGCTACCAACGAAAACAAGTGTACTGCACGAATTTAGCCGCAGGTAAGCCATGAATATGAGCAATGTAATAGTGATAATGATGTACAGCAAGATGACTGGGTGTTGCGGATGCTAGTTTTAACATGTGGAAGATATTTTCGTGATCAGTAATTAATTTTTATACTGATAATTACGTTGTTTCTAACAGATACTCTTCCCAGTTGCTGCCAATGTTATGTCAGGACGTCTTTATCGTTACAAATGTATTAGTACACGCTAATGGATTCGCATGCGTACATGAGTTATAGCATAACCAGTGTTTGTTCCGGATGCTATAGGCAAATATAAGTTTTAAAAACAATAATGGAATCAAATCGCGGGGGTCCAGCTGTTGGTTTTCTTTTTCGAACTGACTATATCCAAACAATTGAAAAATTGTTGCACAAATTCAGATCTCATCGCTTGAGTTTTCTAATAAACGCTAGGATGTGTTGATGGAGGTTTCATTGACGTGCGTATCGACGGTGACAATATTCAAAGCGACGAGCGGCGGTAAGCTTTTGACATATGAATCCTTCCCACACATATTGCAGCTGAGCTGAAATTGTTCGTTCCTGCATGTTATGTCACTAATGAAACTGCCTCGTACGACAATTAACTTTCCAGGCAATTTTTCTTCGAACGCTGAATTTATGTAGCCAAAAATTTGTGTAGCTTTTCATACGATGGAAATACTAATTATTATGTTATTATGTTATTATATTAATCAGCATCCTTAAATGTATATAAAGGTTTCCCCAAAATTCCGTGAAAGTAATATGATGAATATGAGACTTTGTATCGGATTTATTAATGGTAATTTCTGCAAAATTCAAAAGACAATTTTGTGACACGAAATAAAAAGGGTAACGTGATATTCAACAATATGATGCAAGTAGATAACATACAAGAGACTATAGACTAAATGAACTCACTGAATCATCGGAAGAATTGGCGTAAATTTCTAGGTACAAAGTAGGGAAGCGAACAGCGAATTCCAAGGTTGTGTACAGTCATGAGTCTATAAATGTTCCATCTGCCGAAGAATTTGGACCAGATTACACATCCTATAGCAGCATTAATTAATGGATGGTATAAATAAAAGCATTAACAATGTTACCATTGCGATCAGAATAGTTTCATATAGAATTAGTATATATCGGCAACAGAACCAGTGAATATAGTATAAAATATGGCGGTACACTGTTAGAAAAAACGGTGAAAAAACGTTCTAGTGACCAGTCACTCCGTGAAAATAAACTGTTTCACCGTTTTTATCAGACGTTTTACGGATTTATAGTGTTAAATTAGAATAAAAACGGCGACACGGTGTTTCTTTTCACGTCCCGACCGGCCACTGAAACGCCGGTAATACCGTTAACGGTAATTTTTCTAACAGAGTACATCACGTTTTGTGGTGAAGGAACTTAAGGAACATGCATGAGCATAGAAAAATATTGTGGTGCAGTGACACACATATGCAGCTTACTCCTTTCTGCTGCACAAACTGCATGGCACAAACAGGCGTCTCCTGTACTCGTGACCACATCTTGTGTTGCAGTCAGGATCCAAGATGAAACGTAGCGTAGGATATATTTGTGTGATCACGGCCTATGCCCACATATATAAGATGACGGTTGTACATGCATGTTACAACATCTGCGATGCTAACACAGTAACTTATAACTAGCAGAAACAGACGATTTGAGGGCGCGACGAGATACCAGCGGCTCAACACGAACGATTTACCTTTGCGGTCAAGTGAAATGACCGAAATTTGTGACCGGTTGGTTAAGACGCGTTCAAGATGAACGAATACCATTTCGAACGCATCGTGTGATAGATTTTTCGTAATAGTTTGTGCATCATAATGGCGAATGCTTCATAATAAACTTAAGAGAATTCTGTTCCTCGCTCGACATCCTGTGTTATTCAAACCAACTTCGATTATGTATTTTTTATGTATCGTAATGTACTGTTATTTCGAGGGCTTGCACAGTGAGGTTGCATGTGTCGTGATGATATTTGTGCCCTGTTGGTATTCATATCTTGGAGATGTATATTCGGTGGAGACGGATTTTTCGAAACAAAATAATTTGTATCATGAAAATATATGTTTCATGGTGTTAGATGTGTCGTGATGGTATGTGTGTCATGATAGTGCATGCATTTGGTCTATTTAGTATGAGAAACGTTACAAGCGTTTGATTTGGTCCCAAGACAAAGTGTCCTTGGCACGGCCGTACTGCAGCAGCAGCAGCAGCTGCAGCAGCTGCAGCAGCTGCAGCAGCTGCAGCAGCTGCAGCTGCTGCAGCTCATGCAGCTTCTAGCGGGTAGGCGGTTCAGTGCTGTCGTAAATGTGTTCCGTTGCTGCAGCTCCGTCCGCTGCCTCGAGGTGGATTCCCGTGCTTACAGCAAATTTTTAGTGACAATTTGGTCTTTGTAAATTCGCGTTTCGCAAACGTCTAGTGTTCCTCATTATTAATTAACGGGGAGAGCGTTAACATATTCATCCTGTGAAATTTATTCAAAAGTGAATATTAGATTTGTAACAAATATTCTCAATATTTTGATTGCCATCACGCAATGTTGTTCGATAGCTTGTGGAGCATAAGCAGCTGATACTTATTATTAACGAACTCAAGACTCTTCCTGATAATGTAAACAGTGCAGACATCATTCGTACTGATGAGTTGTAATTAATGTTACCCAGAAGTTTTCGAGAATATGTTCAATCGTGTTAATTGCTTAACTTTTCTTAGACGAAACAATTTATTAACATGAATTTAAAATATGTCTTTCAAGTTTATTATTTTTATAGCACCAAGCTAAGAACGCATTAACGTTGCTAAAATTTCGTTGATTTATTATTACCATATAAGTGAGCTCTCATTCTTCAGGCAAGTGTCATCAAAATTCAAAGCATGAAGTGAATTTTAGATTAATTTTATAATTTGTCCTGCTTTTTTCAGGGAAATGTCGTGTATTTTAAGTTTATATTAATACGAGTATTTTCAAAATGATGAAGAGACGCTCGATTGCCAAGCATCTACTGCCGCAGTTCTAGTTTTGGTCGTCAGCTTATGACTTGAGGAATATGTGCGCGGTATAATCACGAATCGGTATAATCACCACTACGATAAAAATATTGAATGAATATACTTCAGTACTCTATTGATAAAACAGAAAATTATTCGTAGAGGAGCGTGAAGAAATATATGTGTCAGATAACTTTAATATGATACTTCTGAAATCTGATTATTTTTTGAAAATTAGATTGATGGGTTTATGAAATCCTGAAATTAAGGAAACATTCCATATAATCTTCAGAAATTTTACTAGGAATCAGATGCAAACCAATAGCTTATCAGGTTGAAAAATTCGGGAGTTTAAACTTTACATTCATTCGCCATAAATTTTTGTCTGCATAGAAAGGGTGATTCAGTAAGTGGATTGATTCGGTTTTTGTTGCGAATCGGAAAGCGTTTGATATCATAAAAAATCTAGGATTTTCTGGCGTTTAACGAGCAAAAAATACATTTAAAATTAGGCCCTGTTATTGACGGGATAAATACATAATTTTTTTCGCAACAAAATGCGGGACAGAGGAACTGTTGGGGTGAATATGCCGAGCCACGCGTCAGAGAATTTGGAGCGGGCAGCGTCCTTGGGCGCGGATGGAACCGAAATTTCCGTCAACGAAGACTCCAGACTCCGAGGAAGCGAAGGCAGCGACACCGCCGTTGCCGTCAATGGAAGTTCATCGCATAAAAGTCGGTCTAGACCAAAAGGAAGATCTAAATCTTCATCACGGACTGAAGAGAGGCCTCGCAGGTCAAGAAGTGTCTTTAATTCTGCTTCTGCTTCGCTGTCTTCCATACCCAACAGAATACAGCTCTCCATGCTGTCTTACGGACTCATCAAAATTAGTAAGTGTGTAATGTTCTTAGTGTTTTATTAGCATTCATGTGAGTCCATCTCGAGAAGCTGAATTTGACTACAGAGATATTCAGTTTACTATCCATCAAAGTTGTTGGATAATTTTAGAACAGCTTGTAAGTGAATGTACATCTAAGTTTAAATCTTGAAATTCCAAATTCAGATTGGATGCTTGACTTGTTTGGTTTACATCTGGTGCTAAATTAACTAGATGATCGTGCTTTTTAATTTGAGTGTATAAACTGATATCTGATTAATGGTGATTTGCGATGCTATAGACTCAGAGTATTTTGACTTTTTTTTCCTAAATTCATCTTGATTTTTCGTGAGCAGCTAAAAAAATCATATGATATAAGAGGAAACTGAACATTTATTGTTATGAACACGCCGAAGACATTCAACGTTTCTGTTGCTTGCTGTGCACTGTTGCTTGCCGTGTGATGGTGTGCACTGCTGCTTGCCGTGTGATGGTGTGCACTGCTGCTTGCCGTGTGATGGTGTGCACTGTTGCTTGCCGTGTGATGGTGTGCACTGCTGCTTGCCGTGTGATGGTGTACACTGCTGCTTGCCGTGTGATGGTGTGCACTGCTGCTTGCCGTGTGATGGTGTACACTGCTGCTTGCCGTGTGATGGTGTACACTGCTGCTTGCCGTGTGATGGTGTACACTGCTGCTTGCCGTGTGATGGTGTGCACGTTGCTTGCCGTGTGATGGTGTACACTGCTGCTTGCCGTGTGATAGTGTGCACTGTTGCTTGCCGTGTGATAGTGTGCACTGTTGCTTGCCGTGTGACGGTGTGCACTGTTGCACACGGTGCTTCAAAGCACTGCTCTCTCTGGTCGATTGTCATAATAACGGACATTGACAACAGGAAATTTTTTAACTACATTAACTTTGAAGGCCTGCACCTGAAAGCAATTTATGTTTTCATTTCTTTCGTATTTTTCATTTCTTTAGTCTCTCTGCAGCGAAAAATTTTGATTGCTCTACACGCTATTTTATAGCACGCGCGATTTCACTCGAGTCATAACCAGCTACGTTCAACATAACAGCAGCAATTTGAATTTTTTAGCTCACATTCTGGCTTGTTACTCAGCTGTCACTCATCAAATGTGAAACCTGAATTCGTGACGATCTTCAAAACGATCTTCTGGAAGACTTGATTCATATTAAAATTTTAGATAAGAAACTTAAATTTTTTCTTCATAACTCGACTAACTCTCCATCGACTTAGCCATTTATCCTAACAGTTCTTTACCACTTAATATGGAGGAATAAAAAAAGTAGCTAATCAGAGACGGCCGACAGTCGGCGTGTTTAAGCAATCAACAAGGTTTTTTTTTATTTTTCTCATGATTTTTTTATTGAAAAATCGAAAAATTGATAGAGCGCGAGACGACATTCAGTCGATTTTGCAAATGAGAAGCTTCTTTATATCTATATAGTGATTTTACGGTAAAACTGACGCTTGTTTTCACCAGCTGCGCTCAAAAAAGTGAGGCACGTCAGTCGATTCTTCTTGCATAAAAACGACGGTGAATGAAAGGTGGATTGTTTTGTCCTGCATTTGTAGCTATGATAAACAGAGGAGCAAATGGAAATATGAAATTTAACTGCAATAAATCAAAGGATACAGAAGATATATTTTCAAGTGATATTGAAACATTATGATAGTGTGTACGGAAGACGGAATGTGTGTTGCAAGGTCAATAGCCGAGGAGATATCTTTCAATACAATCAAACGAATGCATGAGCATTTGTGGGAATATAAAAGATATTGTTTGAAAATTCCGTCACGAATGGGATTTATAACATAATGTTATAATCATCCTTCATAATGTTATGAAGAACATTCTAGGACGAGTTTTATACACGTGCACTAACTGTGCTTGTTACGTAATTACGTTAAACTTTTAGATTAATTGAAATTTTTCGCAAAAGAATATATCAATTTTTTCCTAATATGGGATTGAGTGTTGGATAGTTTTCGTTTCATTTAAGCAAATCTTTAAAAATATATAAGTTTACTTCATACGAAAAAATGATCGAAGCATCAATGAGAATGCATATTTGAATTCCAAAAAGTTTAATTTCAGATGATCAGCGCCCATCACATGGTTTGTGAATGCTGTAACATCTTTCGCGGGTAATGAACAGTAACCCAATTTATAATACAAGCAATTATAACTCAAGAAGCCAGAATAAAACTAACATTGTATTTTATACTCGATACACAGACGAAAACAACAGTCTCTGGTCTACTATCAGTCAAAACTATTTTAAAAATTATCTTAACTCTTATCTTTCCAAACAAATCCAATATGAGATTTCCTTTTGAATCTGACAATGAACCATTTATCACCACATCGAGCAAACTCATGATTTTTCAACATTCAAATAGACGAGTTCCATCTTTAACCCACAACTTCAAGATGTTTAGGGATGAAAAAATATAACTCAGTACTCACTGCAGTGAGTGACAGAGAGCGCATTTTCTCGTCGACGAAAACTTGAGGTCACGGACAGACAGACTGACAAACAGACAGACAGACGGACATGGTGAGCAAAGTAGTGAATTTTTTCCATAAATAAGAAAATGCGCTAAAAATGCTCAGTACTTAACACAGGCTTGGTAAGAATTCCCTCCTGTCTCTTTCATTTAATCAAAATTCAGCTTCCTCCTTCAATTGACTGTCTCTCCCTGTCCTGGATTTAGAAGGCTTCTAAACATTGAAGTGCAAGGACTGTCGTTAATTAATTTTGATGACACCTCATTGAAAATTAATTAACAGACAAACTATTCAGACCTGAACGTTTAGGGGAACATTCGTTTTAATTTGAGTCTGAATATATGGTTATTGAAACATGTTCACTTTTTGACGTAGATTTCTGAACGAATGCTTTCCCAAGATTTTACTCGTTTATTTATAATCAAAATATTAGTTTAATTGATGATGTTAGTAAAAATATCATTTCCAAACATTTCACTGGAGCCAGCAACAAAGTTATGATATTACCTAGAAATTTCCCATTTAAAGACAGAACAGATGGTCGATTGTCCAAGTTATCTAATTTGCTCTCCAACTAAATAAAATTTTGTGAGCGTACTTAAATGATTTAAAAATGTAAAATATTATGGTCATAAATGGAAAGATTAGAATGTACCTTCTGACATGGCGCAGAACCAAAATCTTCCAAGCAATTTTCAAAATAGTCTCTCCAAATAACTTAAATTCATGTCGAAACATTTTAATGGGCTTGCCAAAGACAACTATTGCGAGGCTGATGTTCACTTATGAACGTGGTTATTCAATCAAGGAAATCAAGCGATGAACTTTGCAAATCAGAGGCCGCTAAAGCAATGATTTTCGCCGAAGTGCACGGTGTATAGTTTACGTAATTACACGAAGGATGTCTCTCAATGGAAAGTACGGCAAACGAAGAGAAGAATTTGTTTCCATTGACTTATTTTATAAAACGACTCCACTATATGGGATTTAAAGTTGTATTTTGAAATTGCATTACATAAAGTAAGGAAATTGCGTGCTTTTGGCAAGCGTCAGTTGGCACCCGTTCAGGAATGAATACAAACCTTAAAACTGTGTACGGAGGAGGAGCAGCCAAACGTCTGTTCTTGAAAGGCCTTTTGTTGCATGGTCAAGATTTTCATCAAGGTTTTCAGCAGCTACGCGCAACTTCCGCCTGGCCGATATATCAGGACAGACCTGCGGAACCAACAAACTTCTTATTCTTCTCTCTTACTATAGTCTCCACTTTGTTATTTTCCTTTTATTGTCAATCAAGGCTTACATTATAGTCTGTTATTACATTACAAGGCTTACATTATAGTCATTATAGTCTGTTAGTAAGCTAGTCAACTGTTCAAGCAACAGATGAGTCAGGTAACATTTATCATCACTTAATTCAGTTTTCTCTGCATTTACTAAGGTTTTTTGCCTACGTACCCTTCGCTGCAGCCTTTCGTTGCAATTCTTTCTGAGCAAAATCTAAGTTTAACAAAGCTATTAATTCTAGTCCCGTACAGTATTATTGGAGCTATTAATAATAAATCACAGGACAAACCAAGAATTTCAGAAACAATGCTTGTAACACAAAAAAATGTGCTTAATTAGTATAAAATGTCAGTATAATTACATTCATGAGCCTATACATGCAAATATTGAAGTTTAAGGATTCAAATTCACCAAAAAAACTCTATATTAAGCTTGCAACGCCCAGATTTTCATAATGTACGTTGAAGGTTTCAGCTGCTATTTTGGTGTTATGAACGCGTAAAATGCATTAGTGCTTATTAACTAACAATTATAGGTTTTTACAAGCAGTACCATCTGAGTCCACTCTGAGAAACGAAATCTATTTTGCACGGGTTATTACCCGGTCTCAGATGTTCATGAATTATCTAGATTCGTGCTTCAGCCATCATCACGCTCTCGTTCTTGCGCAATCGCGCTTCAGCCATCGCGCCTCAGCATTTGCGCTATGGTGCTAGAAGAGTCGCACTCTTGGATTCTACTAGCGTACTTCAGCCGTCACGCTGTTGTATTTGCGCTAGCGTGCTTCAGCCGTTGCGCTGTTGCATTTGCGCTAGCGTGCATCAGCCTTATGATGAGTTCGGGACACTACTCTCCCCTGAAAAATAAAAATACAAATTATCATCGGCTAATACTATATCCTAATATTATTATCACAACGCACAAGCTCCTTACTTACGGCTCGTGGGGGCGGACCACTCGAGGGCGTAGAATTTTGTACATATGTGGAGAAAGCTAGGTCGTGTTCTTCGATGCTGGCCGTGCATGTTAACTATGAACATTCTTGTAATAAGTGCACCGCTTGTCGTGCGCCAGAGGAAGACCGACTGTTGCTGCGCGCATTAAGCAGCGTCTGTTACCTATGCGGACCTAGACAGGCAACAATTGCGTAGGTTGTAGAGGCTTCGTCGTAAGGAAGCGCAACTCTAATTACGAGTC